TCTTATGATTGAGTAATATTCCATTGTAAACATATACCAAATTTTAATAATTCACTCATGGATTGATGGACACTTGGGTTGTTTCCACATTCTTGCAATAGTGAATTGTGCTGCCATAAACATTCGGGTGCAGATGTCTTTATCGTAGAATGTTTTGTGCTCTTTTGGGTAGATGCCTAATAGTGCTATTGCTGGATAGAATGGTATTTCTATTTTTAGCTCTCTGAGGTATCTCCAAATTCTTTTCCACAGAGGTTGCCTAATTTGCAGTCCCGCCAGCAGCGTAAGAGTGTTTGTGACTCTCCACATCCTCGCCAGCATTTGTTGTTTTGTGATTTTTTGATAGAGGCCAATCTCACTGGGGTTATCTCATTGTGGTTTTGATTTGCATTTCTCTAATGATTAGAGATGTTGAGCATTTTTTTATATGTTTTCTGGCCATTATTTTGTCTTCTTTTGAAAAGTTTCTGTTCATTTCTTTAGCAAATTTGTTATTCCTGTTGAAACATTAGTCAAGCCATGAGTCTGATGGTCTGTGTATTAAAATAAATAGTTAATTCCTCACTGATTAAGAACACAAACCCTGGAACCAGATTGCTGGGGTCAAATCCTGGCTTCATCATTTCTTTATGCCATCTTCTATTTCCTCATCTGTAAAAGAGAAATAATAATAGTACCTCTGTTATATGATTATTGTAAAAAATTAATTGATTAATATACAAAAAATGCTTAAAATAGTCCTTGGTACACAGTAGACAATGTATGTGCTGGTTGTTATTACTATTTTCAATAAGCAGTTTTTAACTTCTGACAAACACATTATAAAGTATTTCCCAGTGAGTGTTCGATCTGCATGCATTATAGGGGAAAATGAGAGAGAAATAAATAATGGTCATCAAAAATTGACACAGTCCCTATAACAGATTTCAGATGAAAAATGCTTACTCTTTGCCAACAATGTCTCATCAGCATCAAGATAGACACATAATCAGATTTAAACAGACAAAATGAATTTATCTAAACCAGATGCCTCTCAGAATTAAAATAAATAAATAAATACATTTTTCAGATTTAATAATGAGGCTTTTTCAGTTTTAGCTACTTTTGCTAAGAAGCTCAGAGACATTCCAAATATTATAATTAACTTTTGACATATCCAGTGAAATGAGAGGCAATTGCTATTTCTGTTTTAAAATATATATTATTTAGAGTGATTTCGCAGGCTAGCTGAGACTGTGCATGGTCTAGAAATGCAAAAACACTCAGGCTGTCATTCACACAGTCTGCTCGGTCTTTTAAAATTTATGATAATTTTCCATGAAGTATAATCCTATTTTTAAGAATTATTAAAATTTGTGTCATAAGCATGAAAAATTCTGTTGAAAAAGAATACATGTAATTTAACTACCCCCCAAATGCTACTTTTTGATCTAACAAAAAATCAACATTACTGAGCATGGCCTGACAGTGGATGGAACTCAGGAGATAGGAGGAAAGAGCCCTCAATTCTTTACTGGTCCTTTCATTAAACAACTGTGACCTTCTTTGTGTCACTTACTGTGTCTGACCTCAGAACCAGTCTAAGTATTAGAAAGCGGTCTGTCTAGACAGTAGAACTTGAGGGTTGAAGGATTCTTAAATGAAACTCTTCTAAGCATGAAGTTCTCTTTGTAGGTGTCTAGTGGTGGAAAACTCACTGTATCCTAAGGTGCTTGAGCTGCCTACAGATATTTCTAACTATTAAAAAAGTTATTCCTTAGCTTATTTTGGGTCTTCCCGTGAACTCTAAGCTCCCTAGCATCTCAAGTAGCCTAAAATTCTAAATGTGGAATACAGTGGAGCCCCACTACAGCAAATATTCTAAATGATGAATGAGAACTTAAAGTGAGAGCAGAGGGGTGCTCTTCTTTCACCCGTTATATTGACCATTATTAGGCTGGGGCAAGAAGAGCAAAGGATCAAAGGACTTTATAATGGTTCCTGGACCTTCAACTTGAACAAGTCCCCTACCAAGTAACAGTTTTCTTACAGAGAGAAGGTTCTACCCTCCCTGTTTCAAAGGGGTCCATACCAACTAGATTTCCCCTACAGCTCTCTGGGGAGATCAGGCCTAGAACAACCTTCTACTCCAAGATGGAAGAAGTGGATATGATTGGATTTAAATAAATGACCTCCTCCACTCCATTGAGCAGTGTTCCTTAAAGTGTAGTGTGAAGAACATGCTGGCTTTGGAAACATTTTGTTACCAAGCTGTGACAAAATAAGAAACTGAGAGTAAGAGTTCAGGAATGTTGCAGCTGTTGAATATTATGGTGGCGCTAAGCTCTTGATCTCTCTTCTCCTCGAGTTTAGAGCACTGTGAGTGCTGTTGAGTACTCACGTGGTGAGTCACGTGTGGGCTGACCTGCATTCTAGTTGTGCACAGTAGGACCGTGGCTAGGTAGGCCAGGGATTGAACATTTCATAGATTTCAGATAATTTGAGAACCACACCTGGTAGGGACTCCGTAAGAGCTGCATAGATTTAGAATAGAATCTTTTTATCCCCTTCCATGCCCTTCAATTCCCTGGATGCCTTAAAGCAGGGGTCCCCAACCTGTGGTGAGTTGTATAATTATTTCCTTATATATTACAATGTAGTAATAATAGAAATAAAGTGCACAATAAATGTAAGGTGCTTGAACCATCCCGAAACCATCCTCCCACCCCCAATCCATGGAAAAATTGTCTTCCATGAAACTGTCCCTGGTGCCAGAAGAGTTGGGGACCACTGTCTTGAAGGACTTCCCACACTTTGTCCACTTATCAAGGATGAACTGACCATTGACTTTGTTTTGTTCCTGACTTTTATAAACCAAAAATCCAGTCTTCTATTTACAATATTCATTTTAATAAAATTTAAATATGGTGAAAAAAATAAATGTTTCATGAAATTTTTTTATATAGAAGCTGATTCCTATTTTGTATTGACATGAGACTATTAATAGCAAACTGCCTCAGAGAATAATGTGAGTCCTTGAATATAACTGTATTTTTATATTTTTGATCCAATAAGTTTAAAATCATTCTCAAAAGAATTTAGGCAACGTAGACATCCACCTCCCCTAAATCAGAACAGGACAGTGAAAAGAGCATTGAACTAGAAATTGGGGGGTTCTGGGGTCCAGGATTAGCTCTGATATTAATTTGCTTCATGATTTTTGAAGTCACCAAAACTTCCTCCTCTGTGAAAGCAGCAGTGTGAATGAGAGGCTCTCTAAAGTCTGTAACAACTTTAAAATTTTATACTTCAAAGAAAATTATTTTCCCTTAAGGTAGTTTTCTGATGGAGAAGTCATTTCCCCAACAGTGCATTTACTGCCAGAAGACAGACTGACCTTCCTACACTTGTATGAGTAGCTCTTTATTGTAAGTTTAGCATTATCAGACTTGGCAAGGCTGAAATCATACAACAAATGAGGCACTAACCCTGACCCTCAAAACATACCTTTGTCATGGAGGCAGGAGCTCCAAGTTGCGGATGTCTCTGGGGTTGAGGACTAACTCACAGGGGCTTCATCATGACAGAATGGGTCCCATAAAATACCAATATCTATAAGGTACTGTTTATTGAGCTGTTATTTGTCTCACAAGACCTTTCTCAGGGGGCTTTTCAATGCCTAACAATCCAAAATAAAGCCATCTGTCCTCCCCTAACTCATAAAGCCTACAGTATTAACCCAGATCTTAAATAGAGTTAGGAATTGAGTGAGCCCCCAGGAACACTTGAGCATGAATAACCATGATAGAGTTGACTCCACAGGTATTCCGTTTATTGCTTATGGCCCAAAATCATGTTTTAAGCTTCTCTGCACTCATGAGATGATACATCTTATGCCTGTCAAGTAATCTGTCTAACGCGTGTGAGCACAATGTACATGCATGAGAATTGGGTTTAGCTTAAAAATATCAGTAATTCCTATAACGTCTTTCATCTTTGAAATAAATGGAGAGGAGTTTGATGCAAATGAAGACAAATTAGGAAAAAAGATTGGACCTATATGGAAATTGCCACATAAAATGCACAATGTCTAATCATAAATCATTATTCAAAATAATAGAAAATTCATATCTAAGCAATATGAACATTTATGCAGTATATTCTAACAATCAAAAAGTAAGATAATGAGGTAGTACATATATGCATAGATGGGTAGATGTATGTGTAGATGCATATATTATATAACATATGTGTGGTTTATTATTTAACCTATCAGAAAGCTGAAGAATATGGGAAAAGACAAACTTACAGAACACTTTGAAATGGAATATGCAGTTCTCATTGCTGTATTTTAATATGATCACAGTTAAAATTGTATATATAAAAATATATACAGAAGTTTCTGATATGAATTTTAATTTGAAAAGAGCATTTACATTCTAGGTTATTTAGAAAAGAGTAAAAGGCAATTTTTGTTTGCAAATAAAGCCAGAGAAAGACAGTGATTTATCCCAGGGCTTTTCCCAGCAAAGGAACCCTGGATACAGGATTGAAAACCACCTACCTGCAAACAGTAAAACAATGCTTGCTGAAGTTGAGTGATTGGAAGGGAATGTAGTAAATGAACAGAGTCCTGGAGTGAGCCAGTCACCCGGTGGCCCAGTGGGCCACGATGGCTTGTTCTTAAGTGGCCACAGTTTGTTAGGCGAGTGCAATGATTGGTAGCAATGTTCTTTCTTCCCCCACTGAAAGCAATGAAAAGACCTTGAGCTAATGTCTTGCATGGATCAGTCAAGGTCTCCTTTTCCTCAGTGGCTGCCACAGTACCTCCAAGTGTTTTCTTGTAGTGAATTGGGCTCTTCTCAGCTACCAAACTGAAGTCCCGGGATCATCCATCTGAGTTCTCCACCTACTGAGGAAAATTATTCCTATATTATTTGAACCACTGGGATTTAGGATAGCTTTAGGCTATATTTTTTTCAGCACTCTTCTGCTGGTGGCTGTGCTTTCTTTCCCTGCAGAAATCAAAGATATCCACCTACGAGAAGATGTGGGCTTTCATGAGCAGCAGACAGCAGACCGCACTGATAAAAAACAGTGATGAGGGCATCCAACGGGTGCTCACCACCGACTATGCCCTGCTGATGGAGTCCACCAGCATTGAGTATGTGACTCAGAGAAACTGCAACCTCACTCAGATTGGGGGCCTCATTGACTCCAAAGGTTATGGAGTGGGAACGCCAATTGGTAAGAGGGGCAGTCATTAGCCAAGACTGAGACGGTGAATGTCAATTGCAAGTATGGAAGGGAATAGGGTCAGAGTTCTGTATTCCAAATTCTTAGTAGCCTATGATGCCTTTCGTGGACTAATAAATAAGAGAAATGTCCATATAGATCAGAGGCATAGTCTGACTTCAAGATTTCCTGATATTTAACTTAATGCACTTTTAACCAGTATTTCTTTCAAGTTTTACCAATATATAACTCTTTAAGAGCACATAGATGTTTTTCATTTTATCCCAAAGAAATATCTTAAAGGGAATATCTTTCTAATTAATCCTCTTTACATTATTTTCTTCAATACTTATATGTACTTATGTATTTTTTCTGCATTGAATTATATTAGAATAGAAGAAAATTGACTCTGAATTTAAGAGGCAAAAGTTAAAGAACTAGTGTTCCATATCAATAGATGAAAAAGCAAAGCTATATCAGTCAAAAGAAAAAGGATAAATATTACATTATAGTTATAATTTGCTCAGGCAATGTGTTAGATTCAATCAACAACTATCTAAAAATCTCCAAATATTCCTTAATTCTGTCCCACTGCTCTTCCGAGGCATCTTATTGCCTTGTAGGTATCCAGACCCATACAGCAATGTCTTCTTGTATACCTGCAATAGACGCAAATAGAATATTCTATGTTCAAGGGAAATTACTGATTCCTTCTCTATAGAAAACTCCCTCTCTACTGTTTCCCTATCTACAGAAAACTGTGTTGTATAAGACTCCGGTATAGTGGCAACCTGCTTTTCTCCAGTGAGTCGTTGGTAACCTGATAAACATTTCAAAGGAGAGGAGCCAGGGATCATCCGGGCCACTGGGCTAGTCCAGAAATAGTTACAGTAAAGCCAGATGATTAAGGGCTCAAGGTAGATAGGATTTGCTTTTTTGTATTATTATTTTTGTTGTTTAAAAGGGATTATCCAGTTTGATCACCAATATTAGGCAGGAATCATAAAATGAAATGCTTACAGAGGCAAAACAGGTATCAAAAGTGAGTAAAGCATGTTTGCACCAGGAGGCAGGAGGGAATGGTGGCAACTAGAGGCCATATGACTTATCTAAAACAGGCAGCTACATTTCGGGTCAGACAGTTGCAGACATGGGAATTTGAGCACAAGATTGTCAGATATTCCATTTTTCAAGGAAAACAAAAGAAACAAATCCAATTATAGGTAAACTGTCCTGATGCTTTTATTTGGCAACAAAATCGTTAAGAAAAAGAGACTATATATCTTATATTCAACTTTCGATTAATGCTAATTTAATTCATCAGATAAAGGTCAACTATTTTCAACATTTACTGTGAATACACAACCAATCTGATTCTCTGCTATCTATCTGGTGTTAGAAATACACATTATAGAGAAACTAACTTTATTATTATTGTTATCATGTACATCTTCTAAATAAATCTTCTGCAGAATGATTGGGCTAGGGGATCTATAACTTCCTTTTGCTCCTTTATTTTCAATAACTTTTCCTGGTGTAAAAATCAATATTACTAATGAAATGCATATTTTTCCCCAAGTGGTAAGTTCTCCTATGATTTAGTCCACATGTTCTGCAGGGGACCCAATGGGACAGTTAAGCACTAACTAAAAGGACATTATGGCTCTTTTTGACTTTAAAAACAATGTCCTATCTCCCTAACCACGCTTTGCCACCTCATTTTAGATAATAGGGGTGGGGGAAGTCAGACAGATGCTATTTTTTATATCTCATCACTGCTGATTTTAGTTAAATGAACCTTAAGTCAGACAAGAACACCAGGAGTGGATCCCTTTGCCTAAATCTCTGCAGAATCAAGACCCTAAGATTGACCGTAATATAGTCTGCATCTCCTTAGAGGAGCAGCCATAGTTTCTTACTAGAACCATCTCTTAACTAAATTACAAAGTCAAAAACTGCCCTTTTACTGTTCCATCTTCCACCTCATAGCCCTACCCCTCACCACTTTTCAACACACTTTTTGCCACCAAAGTTCTTGTCTAGTAATAATGATAGAAAATAACAATGTGTATCACTTTTCCTGAGAACATTCCCAGTTTAATGTGAGACCTTGAACTACCATTCCTTCTGCAGAATGGAATATAACTCAAAAGTTAAAATCTGAGAGTATAGTGAGTAACATAGAGCTGAGGGGCAGGAGGGAACAATGGGCTTCTTTCTGCAACTCTCCTAAATGAGGGCAGCACTTTGGAAATCACTGCCTGCTGCATGTGAATGAGGCTGACCCAATGACGAGTGTCACTACATTTGATGGATAGGATAGAGATCTGAATGTACATGTTCATTCTCTTTTTTGCCAACCTCACCCAAGTTCCAAAGTAGAAGAGGCTTTCCCCCACTTCCTACATGAAAAGAAATACACTTCAGGGATTTTTCATAGTGGTTATAAACCTGTCATGCATTTATACCAAAAACAATGGAGGAATAATTGAAACAGATGGCAGACCTCAGAGAGAATACATCCATTGGGAATACGGCTGTTGGAAAAATTTGTGAGATGTTTCCTCTATGATGAATTGACTCTTTAAGAAAGATCAGTTGCTATTTAGGAAGATCTGTGGATATACATGTATATTTTTTCAAGTGACATAATAAATCACTTCTGATGTTATTCAGTCCATTTAAGCAACAGCAACAAAAATTGAAACTAAAATACATCCAGATATTTAAAATTCCCCACACACTTCTAGTCTTGCCCTGACTGACTGCCTTGAGGCTCCAAGCTCTGTTCCATGGTCAAAGATTGCCAAAGTTGGATCAGTCACAACACAAAGTTAAAGACACTCCTTCTTAGAGACACTCAGGACAGAAGTTCTGAAAATGTACCTCCTGAGTGATTTCAAATAAAATTCTAAGAGAATGAGAGCAGTTAAGATTTAAACAGGTTACCAGGAGGCGGGAAATTACCTTTCTTAGAGACCAAGTTTAAACAGAGATCAGATTCCCATCTGTCTGAAATGTTTTAGGTCTTGTGCAGCCTGAAGGCAGAAGGAGAGTGTCAGTCAGCATTTACAGAGTGCCCACTGTGTATATTGCTGTGATTACTACTGCGACCACTAACATAAGAATCGTTCTTACACTCTTCAAAGCACTTGCGTGTACATTAAAGCAAAGTACTCCTGGTTTACTTAATTGCTCACCTGCTATGGGTGTATTAACAGTGCTAATTTTGACACTGGCCATTATTCAAGGGATGTTTAAGCAAATAGCCAATATCTTTTAATTTATCTTACAAGACCCATTTTTTTTCACCAAAAATTCATACTCTTAACTAACAAGCCATGATCTCACTCCAAAGTGTTATGCTTCTCTTTTAAATTGCTTTTAAGTGCTGACAATTATTTTAGAAAGTTTTAGGAGGAAAATAAATGACTAATGTCATAAATGTTAACTCTTTGATTTTCTAACTTAAACTATGCCATGAGAAAAAAGGCACATGTGGGGATGGGAGAGGTGGTATGAGAACATGTTCATGAAAATAACACTGAGAACTAAGAAATAAGGTGAATTGAGTTTGATCCTTGGCTCTGTCAGTAACTATTAGCTTCACTCATAGTTTCAGCTTCTAAATTTTTCAATTCTAAAACAAATGGACTAGGCTATATCATTTCTAATATTTCTTCTAGTCCTAAGACACCTCATTATAAATTTACTTCTACCAAAAAAGACTTTAAAGTTTGCAAATAGAGAGAGCCAGAGTGTACTACTTTCCTACTAAGTATAAGAAATGCTAACAAAAATTCTTAGCATGTAAGGAGAAATTGAATAAAAGAATCTTATTTTGTCTCTTCCCTTGCATTGATTTACAGGAATCCAGTATTGAAAAGCTATGTATACAAATAGATTTTGGCACTCTCCAGCCCTTACATAATTAAATCTTCAATAGCATTACTAGAATATAGAGTATACATAATATCAATAAAGTCCTTGCAAATTTTCCAAACCTGACTGAACTTTATAGGACCTTTGAATTATTCAAAAGCTGCTCTTAAGTTCATCTTAATGGGTGCATGAGTCAGTATGGATTAACACCTATAATCAAGATCTACACATTTTCAGTAGCTTACACAGTAAATGTTGATCTTGTCATAGCCCAGTGTGGATTGAAAGAGAGGCTCTGCTTCATGCAGTCATTCTAGGATGCAAGTTCCTTCTAATTGTAGTTCTACCAACCGTACTGACTTGAAATCCCTTTTTCCTTGCTGTGTATTTAGGAAAAGGGAAAGAGAAAGAGCAGATGATCAAGCTGGGAAGATTTATGGCATTCCACTGGAAATGTCAAAAATCTCCTTAGCTCCCATTGGCTAGAAAGCAGTCACGTGACCACACTGAACTCTTAGGGAGAGCGGAAAATGTCTAGTTACACCCCTAGGAAGAAGAGGAAATGGCATTGTTGGTCATCTAGCCATGCTCAGTCACAATATGAGACAACCAAGGGCCTAGAAAAAGTAGAATCTAAACAAGGAAATTTTTTGACGTAGGAAAAGACTCATGACAAACTCAACAGAAACAGAGCTATGTCACAGAACTGCTAATTTAGTCTTCCTTATTTAAAAGAAGCCAATAGTCTGGGCCAGAGGTAATCTTAATATGTCAGGTATCCCCTTTCTAATTATTTGGAGCCTTCGAAATATAGGACTGAACTTTCCTGTCCTTTGCTACTTGATTTGTGGATAGGGGTTTCATAACAACCATAAAGTGGTTACCGCTAAGACAAAAATATTTTCTGATGTCTTCTTTAACATTTTCATGACCAATGACTTCACCCTCAGGCTCTCCTTACCGAGATAAAATTACGATTGCTATTCTGCAACTGCAAGAAGAAGGGAAGTTGCACATGATGAAAGAGAAGTGGTGGCGTGGGAATGGCTGCCCCGAGGAAGACAACAAAGAGGCCAGTGCTCTGGGAGTAGAAAATATTGGGGGCATCTTCATTGTTCTGGCTGCTGGACTGGTCCTTTCTGTATTTGTAGCTATTGGAGAATTCATATACAAATCACGGAAGAACAATGATATTGAACAGGTGAGTCTTCTCTTTCTAGGACTGAGTAGTTTTTAGTTTGCATCATCTATCTTAAATTTGGGGGTTTTAAGGACTTTTTTGTAACAGTCTATTGAATTAGATGCCCAGAAGAGCCACTTTTGAGTTAGAGCAAAGAGCTATTGAATCACTGCCAGGTGCTGTGGGCAGTGCAGCTCCATCATTTATTAATGATAAGGAAAAGCCTTATACACTAAATCCAATTAGTGCTATTTGGAATGACAGTGCAGAAATTCCAAACTCAGTTAATTTCTTAAACAGTTATTTGTTCTTAAGATAGAAACCCTAGATAGAGCAAGGAAGAAATAAATCCAAAATTGGAAAAGGTATAAAAAAGTATTTGAGAGAAATGTTACCAGCCCTTAAGTATAGACTCTGAGCTCATATACTAATGCAAAACAATTTCTATAAGTATATAAAAGTAGTATGAAATTGAGTATTTACTTTTACCAAAGTATAATTTGTAAAAGTGTAATTCACTCC